TCCTATAAATAAAAAATGGTCCCCAATGACAATGCAGTACTAAGCTTATGTTGCTACATGATATGACGTGTGTATAAGGAATCGTGACAATTTGAAATCATCTTCTAAAGTTCATAGACTTTCATTTCCTGAAATTTTGATAAACCCACTCTTTCATTAAATTGTTTATATATACAGTTTATTTGTTATAATAAAATATGAAATGCTAACTGGATAACAGTTTGACATATGTATATGTGCGCAAGTAGAACAGCTATAGCACAGCAAATATGTAAAATGCGCAYAGTAGAGTACAAACATTAAATGTGTGCAACACTTTCCACTATTTACTACAAAATAGTGTTAATTAAACAATAGAAAACAATAGAATTAGCAGTATTTAGTGGTATTTATGTTGTACAGTTTTAGTGTTTGTACTCTACTTTTACAAACTGTAACTACGACACTTCAACCGTAATTTGGGTCACAATTAATCAATTTTGTTGTTTAAGCTTGTTTGTTTTTGAAGGTCATTGCCAGTGTCTAAATACTGCATAATGCAGATCAGGTTGTAAAGATTTTGTGTTTATTCAAAAGCTTATGTCATTTGGSYCCTTCTTGTGATTTCTTTTCAGCTGCTTTTTGCTGTTTCAATCTCATCACTTCAGCATCTCTGTGAAGAAAACAATATTTTACCATATTACACAATGTTATTAATCAAGCAATAAATCTATCCATCAAAATCTAAGATATTTGGTTATTGTTTTAAATGATTTCTGTGTAGGAACCCATGCAATAGTTAAAAAGAAACCTGGTTCAGTTTATTTTTACAGGTAGTTAATGAACCATACAGTCTTTTCTTATTTCCTGTGGGAGTTCCATAATTCCATTCCATAATTTAGCACCACAGTAACTGATTGGACCTTTTTTGATAGTCAGTACGTTGTCTAGGGATGAATGATTTGCTTTCTTGGTCATGTAAATTATAGTTCGTCCTTTGAGGTAGGAATAAATCTTTCAAATATGCTGGTATAAGTTCATGCAGTGTTTTGGACATCGTAATAGCCTTGAGCTTACACCATCATGTACAAATGTAGAAAGATTATTCCATTTCGACACCTCAAGAAGAGCAACAAGCCTAGTTTACAGTTATTTCTTAAATGCTGCAAGAATCTACAATTATGTATGTAACTGTATTAACATCTTTGAGTTATTTCCAGATATCTTTACTTATGTTTATTCACTACACTCAAATTACACTATGATGTTGTTGATAATTTGACAGTTTTTCAATGAATAAGCAGAAGAGAAATGTGGTCATGCACAAAACTTTCCAACAACATATTCCCAAAATGAAAATGGGATTTTAAAAGTTGTATTGTTATCAACAACTTCGCATCTACAATTGATTCCAGTCTTTCTCACATTTTACACTTGATTGATGACGATATTCCAAGAATGAGAAAGGAAAGAGAAAACTATTCAGCCTTTTCCCTAATCAATATAATTCACAGAATTTGGAATTTACTGGGTAACTAGATGTAGCATGATTTTAAGTTTCGTTGCACATTCACAAGATTTTTCTCTAGTTCCTTCATTAGCTTGACAATTGTGTCAAGACTATAGCAAAACATTGCGTTYTTKCCCTTTTTATTCATTTGGAATTGTTACTTAAAAAAAATAAGAATGATCATATGACACCGTACACCTTTTCGCGACAGGGCCGTACAAACCCATATCTTCCTAGCTTGAAGTTCTGCGCGCTTTTATTTTTTTTACATTAAAAAACGCTGTCATATGATAAAATGCTTATTGACTGAGTTAGGTCGGCCYATACGAGAAAATATATAATAGTATGAAACATTTCAATGTTGAATCACAAAAATTGTTGTAGCCTTTTTACAACCAATTGCCTACAATATAAACACCCTCCACAACAGAGCTAGATAAACATAACTCAAATTCATTTTTTACAAAGAACTGACCTTTCTTTTCTCTCTGTYAAGTTTTTTCCTTTATTGCCTTTGTGATCACCTGCACCCTTATTTTGCTGTTTTTTCTGATTCTTTTGTCTTGCAAGTTCACGCTGATTTCCACCTAAAAAGTCATTTTAAAGTAAGTTTGATTGAGCGCACACATGACAAAATAATAGCAGATTTTCAAGATGGTGTCATACACATGTACTACCAAGACTAGAATGCTTTTCCACTTTTTTCATTATGTAATTAGTCCTAACAGAATATCTTTTGGACTTTCTTTTTTTTCCACTTTTGCCAGGCTTCAGGAAATTTTTGGAAAATGCTCCAATAACTGACATGTGTCAACAATTTGTTTTCCATACATTTTGAAATGCCAAAATCGCACTTTGTCAAGTATCCTGGATTCATAAGGATCAAAACTGGGTGTAAATATGATAATTACATAGCAACCAATAWTGTGGACAGTGAAAACAATTAGAAAATACTCTGAATACACGTAGATATATACTTGATTCCACAACACAAAATTTKAAAATAAGAGAATTTCCATAAAATCTTTTAAGCAACCCAAATCCATCCTACACAAGTATAGTGCACGCCACATAAGTATGAAACAATTCTTAACTAATTAGCGCCTAATAAGATTTAGTCATCAACTAACTAAGAATTCAGTGAGGCGAAAACAATTTCACTTTTTGGCATTGTGTTTATGCCCCATTGAATTCTTAGTTGATAACTAAATCTTAAATTAGTTGTTGATTGTTAAGAAATGTTTCACGCTTTTTGGCATGCACTCTAGCAGCATACCTACTTCTACATATTCTGATGCCTGAATCTACACAGTTTTTGCTTGTTTTTGGAAGACACAATCAAAAAGGACATTTTACATTCCAGCTGAATAAATAGTTGTTGTAGCACAGTCGATTGAAGACATTCTGACTGCTATATATATACAGCAATATGCGGAAAGTATGATSATATCAAATATATCAGAAATTGTAGTATATCATCGCCAATATTTTTTGGGGGTTGCCTAGCACATTTTGGATATATTGTATATTTACTTGAAATATGAGTCAAAAAGATCAAAATTTCTGCATATCGTTGTAAAACTTGGTACATGGTATTTGAATTGAAAACTTTTATTTATCATAAAACTACTACCTGTGCTTCAAATAGCTTTTAATAAAAATAATTTGAAAGTGTTCACATGATTTTCGATCTTTAAACTACATACGGAATTTTCCATTTTGATGCATACAATAATCTTAATGATTATTTAGTGTTCAAAATTTTTGCAAATGATTACTGATATTTGGRAAACAAGGAAATAATTGATGAACAATAAAAACAATTATGATTGCAGTGGGTTGAATCTAGAATTGTTATGTGCCAAAAATCAACAATTTAAGCTTATAGGCACGAAGATCGATACATTAAATATTAATACTATTGTAAGGGTAATCGTCAAGACGATTTACTTAAAAAACGGATTAAAAAACGTGCTAATAAGAAACGCAAAGTGTCTCAAAATTTCATTAAATTTTATATCAAAAGTTATAAACAATTCAGTGCTCAACTTTGCTTCGAAACAATCGCCTATTGTCCGATAGTGATATAACTACGTATCCTAAGTATTCTGGGATCATTTTAAGACATTAAATACATCATCTAATAATGAGGTATAAACTAAAACGACGTATTTTAAACTAGCACAAAATATAGCTATACTTACGAGTCATTTTTGAAGCGAAACTCCTCTCACCAACTGTGGTAAAATGAGAAATCGAAGTTGCTTTCAGTTAAATGCATTGTGGGTAATTAAGAATAAACGCACAGGAAACCCAACGTAAAATCTTATTTTCAAAGTTCAATACGTGTTTTCTTTCATATTTTCAGTTTCTGTTTTTTGATATCTCTTTCATTTCTTTATCAGTACCTCTATAAATGAGTTTAATATTTCTTTTTTTTAATGGAATAAATCAAATGATCTCTTATACCATATTTAAGAATAAATTCGTTTGATCTGTGCGAAATAGATCACGCAAGATGTTGAGAGAACACGAAAAAGGCCCATTGAAGTGCAAGGTATAACTTACAAAGCCCCATTAACGTTGCTGAAAAAAAAAACAGTTCGATCTGGAACTGTTTTGGCATTTTTGTTCGGGTTATGAGTCTTTACCTTGATAATATAGAATTCCTCATCATCCCTGACTAAGTTCTCATACTCCTGATTTCATTTGTTAATCCAGTAATTCAATTAACGTGTTACAAACGAACATATGCCCTTTTTCCCGTTCACTCCACAATTTCACTCGTCAAGTCTCCTTGGTAAAAATGCATACTACTTTGTAAAATACAACCATGCTTAAAGAATTACAACGACAAACCGCTGTACCTTGCGAACCGAAGCCCTTTTAGGAGAAAACGAAAATCGAAAAACGAAATCGCAGGATTTCTTAAAGTGAGCGCGAATCGTCTTCCATCCTTTCAGTTTGGACAAAAAATACCTTTAACTAAGTACCTCAACTATCAATCTATAATCTATTGTATGCTCGACGCAGCCATTGAAATGTATGCACACAATAACGCCACGAGCGTGCGCTGTATTGTGGTTGGTTGGGATTCTTTAAATTCAGAAACTACTATAGAATGGAAACTGAAGAGAAATTCAATTGTAACTTTATGTTTTTTTTGCTTCGTTTCTACTTAACTGAAAATAGTTTCAAAGTTAACTCCCGCAGCTCCAATCCARCCCTCAGACTATACACTTCCTCCTTTTCAACGTTAATTGAAAGACCCATATGTGAAGATTTTAAGTGCGTTACACGTGTCTCAAAGGAGTTTTGATAACACATTTGTTGTGTGATGTTCGTTGTTTTYGCAGGCTCATTTTATTCTTATAGGCCGTCACTGCTGTTGATGCTAAAAGATTCCTTACCCGGGATTTSGGTTGCTAAGCATTTCCATTTGACGTGTTACCYTTTTWTGATTTCCTCGCAYAGCTCCTCTGTTTTCTATCATTTGGCTTTGAAAGTTTAAATGGCTCAGAAGCGCCTACCAAAAGCTCGTTTAATTCGCAGTTATATCCCATTTATAATTTCATTTCTTTTAGGAGTWTTATTTGCAGTCTTGTTTTTGTGCAGTCAACAAAATTCACCTCACGATGTTCAGACGACGACCGAMATCCCAATCACAGAGAAACCCATAACTATTTCCGTGGCGGAAGAACCGCAGATAAATACTCAAGAAATTACAACAGAGCAGCCCACTACTGAATTAGTTCAAGCTACCAAAGAACCTTATCCTCCATTGATAAAGAAAAAAGACCTTGTTGTTACTCCACGATTAAGCTGCCCCGAAAAGTTATTTCTTTTAATTTTGGTTGTAACTTCAAGTAGAAACTTCCAAGCACGGAAAGCAATCCGTCGCTCATGGGGCGCAGACACTTCCAAGAAAAACSAAACTGATTCAGAAAGCTTTCGGGTTGTTTATGTTGTAGGTTCGGAYGGAGAAAACGATAGACTGATTACAAAAGAGGCAAAAAGATAYAAGGATATTTTAAGAGGAAGCTTTGAAGACGTCTATCGACAAAATGAAGAGCATACAGTCAAACCATTATTCGGGTTAAAATGGATGGCTTCGTCATGTAAAKCTAAATTTGTCCTTAAAGTCTCATCAGAAAGYTTTGTTAACGTCCCTGCACTGATATCCTTTCTACGAACAAAAGACATAGGTGACGAAGGTCTTGACATGTATACGGGATTTTGTCATGGTAAGAATATCGGAGGGGCAAATATCGTTAGAAATCCAGGCAGCCCGTGGTACATCTCGGAAGATGAATGGTCCGAGCCCCAGCTTCCTCCGTATGCCTCTGGTATGGGGATTCTAATGTCTTACGATGTTGCTGAACGAGTAGTGGAATTGTCTGTTAYGGTAAGAACAATTTCATGTTAGCARCAGAGGTTGTAGCTATTTATGTCCCAGTCCCAGTTTTCATTTATAAGTATATCTAGTGTACCCTCAATTCAAGTGGTAAATAAATTTTCATCTAATTCATTCACCGTCTTTTCTCCGGTATTGTTTATTGAGCCCATAGACTGGCCTACATCGTATTAATACCGGACCGCGTGCTGTCCTTTAGAAACCGGACCAAAAATAAATATGTAGAGAGGATATACATGGGCGTGCGGAGATACGGATTTATCTTTGAGTATTGAAAAGATAAAAGATCTCTCTTACGAGTGAGAATATCGAAGGAGTGAGAAATTTTCAACATGAGAAGATACAACTTGTATCTCCAAACGACCATGCAATATTCTGTTATATGAAAGCAAATTATGTGTTGCAAGATACCTTTTTTT